TATCCTCAGTTTTTGACCCTTGTGTGTTTATTACTTGTTTCTGTTCAGGTAAAGATCTGTGATTATGTTTTATATTYAATTGACTTTTAATTGCTTTATAAGCCTTTTGTTTTGTTTTACCTTTCTTGCGGATTCTGTTTTATTTATGTATTTTCCTATTTTTTAAGTTGTTTTTTTCTTCCTTTTTGAGTGCAAAGAAAAAAATGAAAAAATACAAAAATATGAGTGTACTTTTCTTTTTACTTTTAATTTTTTTTCTGAGTACTCTACACACCTCCAGTGTTTGATTCGCTGTGCCAACCATCTTTAATTTGTTTGATTTCAAACCTTAATGAGTCATATGTACACACAAGGATTACTTTCTGAAAGTTTCATGGGAATCTACTGAAATGTTCAAGTTTTTTTTTTCAGACAGAATTGCCTCTGAAAATCACTTGTGCATTATTTTAGGGCAATATTTGTAAAATTAATTGAATTACAGCCATTTATGCAACTCTCACAATTTTAAATTGTGTTGATGCAAAAAAGTAGACATTCATCCAATGATGTAAAAGCTTTTTCTTCTCATTTGTAAAGAACAGTTCTTAATTTCAGGTGGTTTGACAGAGCAGACAATTTACACTCTGGAAGTGCTCCAGGCTTCTGTGGAAGAGGWATTCACAACAACTAAGATATGACTTGTTATCCTTTCCACAAAACACCACTTCAAAAACAATATCTGAACTATCACATTAAACCAAACTTATGCCCTAGTTGGTATCTTAATCCTAAAAATGTACTCCCATCATTGTCTTTACCTTTCTGTGTGATACACCTTTAGGATACAACATTTTAAGTTTGGCAAAATGAGTCACAGACATCCGAATATTCTTGCTTCTACATCATTGCACCCTTTTTGTCTGTTTTCTTTTTTCCACTCCAGGGAATCCACGAGCAAGTTTTAAGTTCTTCCTTTTAATGAAGATATCTTTGCAAAGCTAGCTGAAAAGAGCTGAAGTTCTCTCACTAAACTTTACATTTTACCCTCATTTGTCAGACATTTGAAAGCTTAAAATGTTATGCTTTTCTTTTTAAATTAATTTTTCCAGGTTTGGTGTCTGCTTATTATTTGTATAACCTTGAAATGAAAATTCAGTTAATTTAAATGGATATGAAAAGCCATTTGTATAGGCTTTTCCCAGAAATTTTCTGGATACTGCACATTTATTGAATGATTACCCTAAAAT